GGGGAGGGGAGGACGTGAACATGTTGGGAGAGGACAATGGGTTGGAGCACACAAACAATGAACTGGAAGCAGAGGAGATCGACGTCGACCTGTGTCCGGCAGCGACCTCCGCAACGACGGAGCCCCCGGAACCTGCGCCCGAGCAGCGGGAGGGGGGAAGGGGGGGCTTCGAGGGGGGGATGGATGTCAGGGGTTCAGAGACAGAGGCACAGGTGAGGGGGGAGACGGAGAGCGATGAGGAAGAATCCCAGGACAGTGAGGAAGAGGATGACAATGACTTGAGGTCTTCCATGAGTCTCTCAAGTGAATCGGAGGATTCCCAGGAGGGGGCGCCCCTAGTCAGGACAAGGGGGGTCACAGGGGGGACCTGCCAGGAGCAGGGAAGCAGCAGGGAAACCCCGAGTGGGAGTGGGAGATCGGGGCCGGCTTCCCAGCAGGAACGAAGTGAAGAGAGGGGAGTTCCCAGTGTGGCACACGGAGCGGAGCAGGAAAGAGACAGGGGAAGGAGATCGGGGCAGGACGTCCTGCCGGAAGAGGCAGAGAGTAGTACAGGGAGTAGTGTAAGTGTCAAGAGGAAGGTCAGGGGTAGCGAACGCGCGCCAAGTTCAAATGTGGAGGCGCGCGGAAATGGAGGAAGCCCGGAGGAGGAGCCTAGCCCCAAAGCACGAAGGAGGGGGGAACAGGCATCTGAGGAATCCGCTTCAGGAGACAGCAGGAGGGAAGGAACCCAGGGGGGCAGGAAGACCCTGCGGAAAAGGAAAGACAGGAAGAGGTGGTCTAGCACAAGCCTCTTAAGCTGGTGTAGAGGCGGGACCGACTCAGAGGGGACTTCAAACGTCTAGGCTAAAAGACGCGGGGCTGCACGCCTCGGTTGTGGAACCAATAATGAACTGCAATAAACATCCTTGTATATAAGAAGAGCTTGGCGTTGGTCTTTTGTGAGCTGAGACCTGAGGCAGCCTCTGACAACTGTCATTGAAATGAATGAAATGTAGCTTGCATTCATGGTGCGCTCAGGAGAATTTCCTGAAGAACTGTGACTAATGGTTTAGTGTGGAGATGCCATTCGGTTTTATCCCCATGCCCCCAAATGTTTTGGGCAGCTCTGTACAACCCCGCCTAAAAATCTCTGTCCTGAACAGCTGATCAGTACTGTGTGAGTTACACACATGCCTATTTCTTTTAAAATAAGTGGCCTTGGGACACTTGGGGGGTTACAGGGTACAATTTGCCTCTGCCCCTGCAAAGTAATATGTACCTGAATGAATGCAGTTCTTATATTAATGGTTGGGGGCAAAGACCCTGAGACCACCATCTGACTAGCATAACAGGTAGCACCAACCCTGTCAAAACATATGAAGAAAGTTAAGCCATGAAAACCAAGTTAGATATCATAATACTTGAATTAAGAGCATAATTTTAAATGGGTGTTGACAGCAAAAGCATTTTAAGATGCTTCACAACTTTTGATGTTTCAAATAAAAAAAGCAGTTAATGTGTTTTATAACTTAATTCATATTGTCAGGCTTTGAAGGCTTGACTGTAAACATTTAAAGTCATTATTATTCTACTTTGTAAATGTAAAACTAGGCACCTGTTGCTCACCTTGCTAGAAGTAAAATCTTAGATCTGTAGTGAGTATTATCCCAGGTTATCCAATACTTTAGCTTGTTAAGAAACATAAAACCTCCAAATGAGCTCTACTTTGAGCAAACTGTTCAGGTTTTGCAAGGTTTGTTTGATCTAGCTTGCAAAATTTCTGGCTTGTTCTGCAAAGTACTTTGTTTTGATTTAGTAAGCTTTCCTCCCATTGTGAATAGCAGGGGATGGGGGATTTATAATTGAAAGTGTCACAGGGGCAAAGGGTGAAGGCCTCCCACACCACGGTCCAGATCTCTTCCAACCTACCTCCTTGCACCCCCCTGCCAAGGCCAAATAACTTCATGTCTAGTTTGTCCCATAGTTCTTGGAAAACTTTCCATATGTGTCTGTAATGTTACTTAAGCAATGTTGATGGAAATGAAATGACAAGGGAAGAGCAAAATCAGGAAATTAATTTTAAAGTGGGTGGGAAACCTTGGGTAATTGCCATACAGATTTTTTTTTTTAATGTGTAAGTAATGTGGAGAAAATTGCTTGATTTCTGTTGTAACTTTGTAAGTTGGTCAGTTAGTTAGTGTACCCTATGGAGGGGATGTCTTATGACTCTAAAATGTGTCCCAGAACTCTGATTTACTTCGGAAAAACCCTCCACTGTACTGTATTAAAAATGACAGAGGTTAGGGACAGAAACACCTATCTTTTTGGTCAAACTGAAATTGAAAGTGACATAAAATCATTTTTGGCACCTAGTGCAATAAATGTTATGAAGAAGACATGTTCAGGAGAGATTAGGTGCCCCTCTCAAGGAGAGAGGACATGAATTCACTAAACAAGAAGTATTTGTGACTCGGAATTGCTCATTGTACAGGAGATGAAAGAATCTGCTCTCTGGGAAAAAAGAGAAGCCATCTGAGCAAATGGAAAAATTAGAATTGACCTACTTGGCGAGTCAGCAAGAGGTTTGTTAGAGATTGCAAGGAAGGAATGTCTGCTTTGAAATGATAGAGCTGGTGGTGATGGGATGTTCACTGTTATGTCAGGCCACACCAGGCTCAAGCCTTGCTGTTTTACAAGGTTTATTAAGCAGTTAATATTAAAAAGGAATGGCTGAATCTGTCAGTTTTGGTTTCTTTCAGTTTCTCATTTTTTCCAATCTTACTTTCAGTTCTCCATATTTTCACATGCACATTTTAAAAATCCCCCACTAATACACACATTTGTATGCAGTTTTGCCTATTGCACATGCACACATTTTTAAAATCCTGTTTCCCTCTAATATAATGCAAATTTGTGTATTATTTTCACTAATATATGCACTTGTGGGCACACTTTATCCTAGTATATGCATTTTTGCATACATTACTGAACGGTGGTATTGAAATTTAGTATACAATAACAACAATAAATAATCTGTCTTCTCTGATTGGTGCATCTTGTACCATCACAGTACACTTTTCAACTATTGGTCAGATGCACCTTTTTACCTAGTTATTTGGTTAAGAGGATATTTTTCCTGTTGCTGCCTTATGTGCACTGCTGTTCTCGGATGCTATTTTGTCATTGATTCTTTTGTGGTTTTATTTCATGGTTTTATTGTAAATTGTACTTGTTTTAATTGTGGCGTTTTTGTTACCCACCCTGGAACAATTTGGTAAAGTGTGGGCTATAATTACAAATAATAATAGTTCTTACAGTCACCAGGAAATTTTTCACTTTGTAAAAACACATGCACAGAGAGATGCCAGAATCTGGAAATAAATTATGTTTGAAAACCTATAGAGGAAAAAACATGTTTCTCAGTTTGGCTGAGGAGGTTTTGGTCCACCCAAGGGTATGTGCAGGAATTTTTCTGGGGTGTGAATGGGCCAAAGTAAATTCTTCAAATAACTAGCATCAGAGAACATGGCTACTATTTCTAGCCATTCTGGTGACTGAACAATAGTGAGTCTAGGTAAGCCTAGCCTGAGAAACTTGTATTCCAGGACCTACTTCCATTGTTTCTCAGTGGATCTGCTCTATCCTAACATCCAAGCAGTGTCTTTCAACACACCAGTAAAATTCTTCAATTCTTTCCCTGGCTCCCTTCACCTCTTTCAGATCTTAATTGCATTACTGCTGCAGTCAATTTCACAGCCTTCACTCATTGCAGTTCCCTAAAAACAAAATTTGCACTAAAAACACCAACATACCAGGATAACACAAACCAGTATAACAGCAGAGGACAACATCAGGGTTGTCATACAGAGGTCTAACTCCCATCAGCAAAATGGGTATAATAATACTGGGCTACTTTGCATGGCTGGCATAAGTTACATAAGCCACACTCACAGTCACAGCTCCAACTCCTGCAATATGGGTTTAATAATAATGATATGCATTGGCATTAACAGAGTAATTTTTAAAATGGTTATGAACTAAAAAAGATTCAAGACGAGTCTTTCATATTAGTCTTCTGTTTCTCTAATTGTCTATCTTCTTTCCTGAAGGCCAGTCATTGCTAGGACTTCATTCATTAGCTAAAATTACTAAAAGTAGGAACAGCCTAGTTTCTTGCAAAACAATTTAGACTGGTGTCTGCACATCTTGCTTTTTATGAAGGCTGGAAATCTGGAGGTTATGACTTATCAAGGTGGGGGTAGCCATGGGTCTACCCTATTGTTTTGTTTTTTTTTAAAAAAAGATGTAACTCTGGGGATTTTGACTTCTCTGAAGTGGGTGCTCCTGGGTCCACCCTACATAGTAGCCATGGATTTGTTACAATAAAATAGCAGAAAGAGAAAGTAAGATGAGGTTCTCTGTAAATGCATGCAAAATAGTATTTAAAAAGCATTTAATTTTTGAACACTGCTAAAATAACAGGGCAGGGACGCGGGTGGCGCTGTGGGTAAAAGCCTCAGCGCCTAGGGCTTGCCGATCGAAAGGTCGGCGGTTCGAATCCCCACGGCGGGGTGTGCTCCTGCTGCTCGGTCCCAGCGCCTGCCAACCTAGCAGTTTGAAAGCACCCCCGGGTGCAAGTAGATAAATAGGGACCGCTTACTAGCGGGAAGGTAAACGGCATTTCTGTGTGCGGCTCTGGCTCGCCAAAGCAGCGATGTCACGCTGGCCACGTGACCCGGAAGTGTCTCCGGACAGCGCTGGCCCCCAGCCTCTTGAGTGAGATGGGCACAACCCTAGAGTCTGTCAAGACTGGCCCGTACGGGCAGGGGTACCTTTACCTTTACTAAAATAACAGGGCAGCCCAAGAAAGAAGAGATATTGCTTAGCCTTAGAGTATTGATGAGTTTTGATGTTCCCTGCTGCTTCTGTGGTGTCCCTAGCCATCTATAACCTTTCAAAGACTAGTTCACTGATGGAGAAGAAGAAATTAATACTGATGTCTTTGTCTGTTACTCTTTCAGGTATCATTTGGGATTCCTGCCTGGTGGTAAGTGTAGCTTTAAAATTTTGATCAGAAAAGAGGATTGTACGAATAGTGTAGACTACTGAACCATATGCCAAGACTACAGTAATGACACATGCTAAAGCTAAACCAAAACTTTATGCAACTTTGATTTTAAAAAGTCAAGATTCAGTTTGTTTTTAATTTCAGAAATGTCCAAATGTTGCTTTTGACTTTGTTGGGTACTTCAAAATCATAACCATGACATAATAATTGCTGGTATCAAATCGACAAATTCAGTACTTTTAAAATAACTCTTTTTCCTTCCTAAAGCCTTTCACTCTGAAATATTCTGTAATTGTGAATTTAAGAAATGTTAATTTGAGGAAATTTGCATGAGGAATGTTTACTTCAACTTTCCCCCAAGTTTAATGTATAGCACATCATAGTGTGGAGGCAGAGGGTCACTTGAGTAGTGTACAACTACACATTCTTCAAAGGTGACTCCCTCCATCCCCTGGCCTTCATGAATCTGGACGCTTTCTTTTTCTTTCATTGAAGTTGACATTCTCATGGCACCTTTTGTATGCATATTCATATTGCTGTGGACAGGTTGCTTTCCATTCTTTAAAGTCCTTAAAACAGAATTATTGCCCGTTGTAGAAAAACAGGTTCATTACTGGAAAACCTTTTGCTGAATTTCTGTAGGAAAACCAATTGATTAAGGGCTTTTTGTTTTTCTTGCTTTTTTCCATTAATCATTTTTAGCATCATGTTTTCAGTGTTCAGCCATGAGATTAGTAGCTTAAAAAAGAAGAAGAAGAAGACTGGGGTTCTTGCAACACTTTAGAGGTTGCACATAAGTCCTTTGTGTCCATGTACACAAAACTTTCACATTTCCCACCCTTCTGTATTTGAGGAAACCAAATGGATTTGGATTGATGCAGGCCCCACCTGCATAGTTTCAGATGGTCATGAGTGCTTCAGCATAATTCTTTGCCTGAGGAATCTGTAGAAGGAAGGGATATTGCGGTCATAAAGTAACAGGGTCCACCAGCTGTGTGAGTTGATCTGGGTAACTGCTACTAGATTATTCACTAGCATCCAAAGAGATAATGCTAACCACATTATGTAGACTAGAGCCTAGACAGAGTGCTTTGATGCTAACATGGGCCAATGATGTTTTCAGTTTTTCATGAGGAGAGCTATTTTTGTGCAATGTAGATGTCTGTAGCCCAAAGAGCAACAGTTTTGCCATGACAAAAAGAAATATAGAGATGGTACAACGATGCACACACCCTTTTACAGACGTGCAAACTTCCAGATGGGAAATATATGAGGAGTAATGCTTGAGGTTTGTTTGTTTGTTTGTTTGTTTAGGAGTCTTGGTGACTGTAAGGGTATTGGGTTTATTTTATTCCTCCCCTAATGATCAGGGCTTCTCTGATCTGACCAAAAGACCAAGAAGCAAGACAGCTGTCTTAAGCTCTGAGATGTAAAAAAGACTGTAGCTAGTGAACCAGTTAGAGCTGGGAATAGGTACTCTTAGCACTGAAGCTGCCTGATTTCAAGTGGCAAATATGACTTCTGGAGCCCAAGCAACAAACCTGTTCTTTCAGTGGGACTGCAACTCTGCCTAGAACAGGACACCTCACGAAATTCCACACATGGAAACTGTCCCTGCCCATAGCGCCTCCATCTTGTCTGGAATTGGTTTCAATTTACTGGCCCACATCCAGCCTATCACCACCTTCAGACTGGGTCAGTATCTGTTCTGCCTCTCCTGATTCAGATGGTACAGAGAGATATTGGGTATGACCAACATATTAATAACACTTTGCTCCAAATCCACTGATGGCCGCTCCCAACAGCTTCAAATAGATGTTAAATAGAATGGGAGACAGGATAAACCCTGCCGAACCCTTCAGGTGAATTCCCAAGGAGAGGTCTTCTATTGCTCCTCTCTGAAATCACCCCATACGTAGGAACAAAAACACTACTGATGTGTGTTCGCAGCCCCCAATCCATGTAGGCATTCCAGGAGGATGCCATGGTCAGTGGCATCAAAAGTCACTTAGAAGTCAGAGCATCAGCACTCCGACATCCCACTCCTGACAAAGATCAAATCAAGACAACTAAGGCAGTTTTTCCTGCCAAAACCCAGTCTTAGTTGGATTGGAATGGGTCTAGAAAATCTCCTTCCTCCAAGTATGCCTGAAGTTGCATCATCACTGCCTTCTTGATTTCCTTGCAAAAAAGGGGATATTGGCGATTGGGCAAAGGTTGTCTAACACTTTCTGGTCCAGGCTGGTCCTCTTAAGGAACTGGTATACCACTGCTGATACCACTGGTCACCAGAATTTATTGTACCAGCATTTATCCTCCTACAGTGAGGCATTTATCACTCCCTGGACCCACCCACTCAATCCCCTTTGGAAGCTTTTATTAGCAGATAAGGGCAAGGGTCGAGAAGGCATGTGGTAGACTGATTTCCTTCCAATAGCTTTCTCACATGTTCAAGTCATACTAATTGAAACTGATCCAGTAAAAAATGAGCAGATGGTGTGCTGGACACTTACATAGGACTAGTGCTAATTTTGGACAGATCCAAGTGATTTTATCCTCAAAGTGCTTCACTAATCTGCCACAACAGGCCTCTGATGGTACCATCATCTCCTCCATCTGGGTAGATACCCTTTGCCAAATGGAAAAGCTCTGCTGGATAGGTACTAGAGGATGTACTGGTGGCAGAGAAATAGGTCCTCTTCACCACCATCATGGTCACATAGTAGGCCCAACAATGTGCTTGTACCTGTGTTCGGTGAGATACGTCTCAGGATGTACACCACTTGTGATTCAGCCATCATCCTTCTTGCTTTATCACCTGTAGCTCCCTGGAATAATAAGGAAATCTGAAGGCTCCACAACTTTGAAGAGGGCACCTGCGAGTATTTGTGTAGAGGTCCCTTCCCTTTCTGTCTCTCTCTGTTCCATAGTGAGACCAGGGTCTCAACAGGAGCTCTGATCATGTCAGAGCCTTCAAGAATTTCTTTGATTTTATAAGTCTCTGAACACCTTACTGGGTCCTGCACCCCTGATGCCAACAAATCCAAATATTGCCAAAAAATGATCCATCTATGAAAATGGGTTCATCACAAACCCTAATACCAACAGATCCTTGCCTAACTTTCTTGCAAAGACCAGATTCAGTCCTGTGACATGGGTTGGGTCATGATAGATGTGGTGATGGTCCCCCTGACCATGCAGAATGGATTTTTGTACACATTTGCACATGTTGATAGTAATTATCTGAACAGCAGTGCTTTAAAACCCCCCACTAAGGTAGAGAAGGGGTGTATAGAGAAGATAGAACAGTCAGCAAAATAATCCATATTAGCTTAATTCCTTTCATTGTCTTAAGAAATAAAATTCCAGCATGATAGCCACTCACCCCCCTCCATTTACTGTCATGGAGTGGAGGGGGGCAGAGCTCTACTTCCAACACATGCTCGTCGCTGGCAACACAGAAATGTCAGAAATGCAGTGGTGCCTAGAATTCCCACTAGGATGGTGTTATCACATTTTAATATGAGTCTCGGTGCTTCTAATTGCTTTCAAATCATTGTTTTCCTGCATTTCCTTGATGAACCGGGCATCTGGCGTCATTGGAGAGACGGTAAAGCAGACAGCTGTGTTCGGAATTAAAAAAACCCCTGATTGGAACACATAAAAGGCATAAAAATTAGATTTTTCTTCCTCCAAGAAATGTTTACATCTATATTTTTTAAAAAATAAACTTTCACCATTTGTGTTCATTTGTTAAGCAGTCATAGGTCTGTATTAGGGCTCTTCACATCAGCTCGTTTTTGTGTGTAATGCATTTGGATTGTATTTGACATATCTATTTTAATATGCTGAATTTATTGTTGAGCTGCCTGCTTTGACAGGTCTGATCTAATAGGGAATGCAAACCACAGCCGTTAGAATGGCTTTTAAGCTTGCTTTCTATTTTCAAGGCTAAGGTGTGTGTTTATGTATGTAATAGGATGGTTCTCGATAATGTTAAGTGTGCTTAGGCCCTATTGAAATATATATGAAAAGTTAGTCACAACTAACTTGATTCCATCAGCTTCAATGAGACCTAAGGTTGGACAACTTAGTCTGGATCCAAATGGAGAAAGAAAGAATTCTGTGTATAGATAGAGATAGCTGTGTGTAATGTATATTCCAAGAATATTGTGCCCCATAGGCTTCTGCTTTCCACATTTCCTTTCTTGCTGATAGTCTCCATCTCAACAGTACTTCCTTCGAGCTTTAACTTGTGCTTCTGGAAATCTGTGGTTAGCAGTTGTCCAGAATCATTTTCCCTACTAGCTTTCCAAGAAGAAGAAGAAGAAGAAGAAGAAGAAGAAGAAGAAGAAGAAGAAGAAGAAGAAGAAGGGTCTGCAAGACAGGTGTTCCACCAGGCCTTTGGCCAAGGCACAGTCTGACCCCGTCCTTTGGTAATCCTCATAGAACTCTAGCCCAATGGTTGCCATTAATTTGATTCTGAATTGATTTTAGAATGTATTTCAATTAATTGATTGTGATTTTATGTAAACTGTGTTACTTTTACTGTTGTTAGCCGCTCTGAGCCCTGCTTCGGCTGGGGAGGGTGGGATATAAATAAATTATTATTATTATTATTATTATTATTATTAAGAAGAAAAAAGAAGAAGGGGGATCAATTAAGAAATAGGACATACAGTATAAAATAACACTTCTGGCTGTTCTTATATAGCATACCATGTATTCAGAGTGCTTCACATATGTTATCTCAATGGTCATTGTCATGATTATACACATATTAAAATAGAGAGCTGAGGCTGGGAGAAAGATAGCTTTCCTTTAGGCTACAACCCTATAGTACAGTACAAACTTTCTGAGGAGTAAGTGCTGTTGAACTCAATGAGGCTTTCTTCTGAGGAGATATGTATAGGATTGCACTGTAAAGATGCCTAGGTAAGATGTGTTTGTGGCATAAGTGAGGCTTGTAGTAGGGACTT